GACAAACGGAGCTAGATACACCGGTGACAAAGTGACCATCACCAATATATGGTATACGTAGATATGATTCATGACTAAATTGTATAAAAACTAGAAATACCTGGGCCTGCAAACTATTGTACGAGCGATATAAATTAGTGCAGAAACTTTTTAATTTGTATAACCGCATTTTTTTTAACCACAAAAATTCAGTGACATATCCTCGCAAATTATCTTGTAAAGAAAAAAAGAGCATAAATAATTCTAACATTACAAGAAATTTTCAAAGTCAACAATACTGTACTGACAAAGCTCATTAAAAAAATGAATTCACAACAAGATCAACAATAGCCTGTTGGTAGGGTTTATTGAATGAAACCCCTCGGATCGACCAGATAAAGGGCATCGAAGAGGAGATGCTTGAACGACTGTTCCTATTGCATTGGAATCCCGATATAGTGCACTTAATGCGGTCATGTCTGGCTGGACAGGTTGCAGCTTACATTGAAGAGGACTTGATGAAAGACTGGAAATTGCTCCCAGACTTTAAGTTTATATTCAAATTAAAAGAGTTAAGCATTAACAATTATTTCATGTAATATGAAATAAGGATATATATCAATAATGGAACGTACCTCTATGGTTTCATAATAACATAATTTGCAAAATTATAAAGAGCAACTGGAAGCACCCTTCTAGAATTGAAAACGTATTCGAGAAGAAAGAACATTACATTAGGCCCTTACACTAAGCAATGCAAAAATTACGATACATTAACAACACTAACGTGCTGCACCCAAATTAATTAAGAAATTTGACAATATTCCGATTCCGGCATAGTTAAAAGGAAATCTCTCCACCTACTTTTCTTGAACAGGATAGATGCTGGTTACCCATTCAAACATCCATCCCAAACAGAAACTTGTTGTCGCAAAAAAATTATAAAAGCTTTCAAAAGGTAACGATTTTAATAGCAACGCTTGCTATAGGGGGAAAAGCAAAAAATTATTTTCAATGTTTTCCCAAACAGAGAGATAGAATAACAAAGATGCACTATGCGACTGGAAATTAACAAAAATTCCATGAAAATTTTCTGCAAGG